CTATAGCACAAGTGATCTAAAGTATAATGAAACAAAATTGACATTTTTTTCGAGAAAATAATAATGAATTCGTATCTCAGCACCATCCGTTAACATCACTTTGAAAATAGTTTAGGAAAACTCTTACTTCGCTTCTCCCAAAGATTTCTTGTTTATGATCTGCCTACTCGTAAAACAGGATCTTTACTGATTTTGTTTATTTACTGTAAATGTATTAGTAACGAGCTAATTAAATTCTTTTCTTTTAATAAGACCGATCAGTCAGGGGATGTTTCCTAACCGTGCGATACGGTTACGTTCAGGGAGAGAAGGAAATAAGAATACAGCGACCGCGGCCTAGTGGGGGTGCGCTCAATCGAAAAATCTCTCACTAAAATAAACTCTATCGCCCTTGAGATTTGAACACGTGAAGGTGGTACACGGCAGTCACGTTATTTGCATACTCGGCTGCGGATGAGGAGGTTTTTTTTTTTAATAAAACCAACCACTGAGCGGAAGTATCCTAAATGCTCTATTCATAGACTACATACACAGCTTAATGACTATTATAGAGAATATTCATCCACTTTGCTCTCTTCTTTTCCTCTTTTAGTAGTGAGCAGCTCGCTAAAAAGTGTTGCTGCTTCAAATGAAATACTGAGCATGTCTTCAAATAAATTCAAAATTTATTCTTTAATTGCATTATTATAGGATCAAAAAAGACGTTTATATGAATTCGTCACTTCCAATTAGTGTGCTAACAAGCGAATGAATGAATTGTTTGGGCTTCATGTGTTATATATAAAATTTTAACTTGTTACATACTAGATGAACACACAGTGCACAATTGGTGTAAGTTACAAACTAAATGACGTGACTAGTATACCGAACACTATCTTAATGTTGAAATTACTAAATAAGAAAAACTGAAGGTATTTTATAAGGCAATATAACCTCTCCGATAAATGTGTTAAGTCATATTTTTGTAATAAATCATATTAGCGGAATTTGTAGCCATGACGATAACAGAAACAAGCGGTGGCGATATAATATACAGGCTTAAATTAAGCCTGCCGTCGTTATTGGGAAATAACAGTAAAAATAACTTTGCATTATAGGTTTCGATTTCATTTACAAACCCAATCAAGTATTTTATTTGACATCCAGGAACCAAGTCTGAGATATAATAGATTTATCGTATCGTTTGTAACACTCGGAAAACACGTATCGAACAATCACGAAGTATGTTCATATTGGTTAGGGTAACGGTCGTGAGATAAATTAGTGGTTTTTCTCTGTCTACCGGTCCATGGTGTGACATTTAAAGCCACAATAAATTGTAATGGAAAGCAGAAGCTCGGGTTTGTTTGAAAATGGTCAGACGGCAAAGTGAGTTGAAAACTGCAAAAAAAAAATTTCAAAAATTTGTGAAAATAAATCCCATCATTATAAGCAGTCGAATAGGCAAAGAATCGCGACCGATAACTCAATGTTCGAGGGTTCCAATCCCAAGTGGGGTAGAGTTTACAATTTATAAAACTAGTACTTAAGATGCACCAACAGCTGCTGGATATATCCTATGCAGCTTGCAGTCTGCAAATGCTTTACGTATAACCTCATGGGGGTATCTGGAATTCGCCCAAGTTGAATATAATCTTTATTTGTTTCTTTACAATAAAAATCAGATAATTCCCATATGTGTTTAGTGTATATATAAACAGGCTGGCATGCGTGAGATGTATCATACCATTGGATATATGATCAAGCAGTTTTTTTTTCCCTTCTATTATTGAAAGCCATAATGTTAATTTTATAAATTGGCCGTTTCATCACTAACTGCTATACGTATGCGTATGTATTGTAGTGCAGCATGTGTTCAGCCATTCACTAAATTGGCACTGTTTTCAGTTCTTCTTGTTAATTCTGCATTATGTGTTTTCATCATTCCTTCTCCCTTTGATTTTATGTCCAAATCCCGATACTCGATGACCACGCATTTTTTTTTTTTTTTTTTTTTGGAGATTCATTATATGATTCTGACAAGAGGAAATAACATGCGCTGCGTGAATTTAATACACATATTACTTGTGTAGTCGATATTCTTAAACCACTAACTCCTAGTTAGCAGGAAGATGGATTTCGTATTTATTGAGTTCATATGTAATTATAAAAAAATTAACGGCAGCTCGTGTTGAACACTTTCCAAGGAACATTCGAACAAGACTTAGAACAATAGAAACAACATTCAACGCGGAAGAATCGGCAGCTCTTGATGTTCTAGGCATGAGAACGCAGAGGCAGGTTCGTTGGACAGAACATATATTCGGAGTGTCGATACCGTCGAACATCGACGTAAAGTGGGCCGTGTGACGCTCATGTGTGGGTACGTCCACACCAAGTGTTCTATAGAGATAAAAGAGATGCTTCCATTAATTAACTCTTTTAACAAGATTACAAGGCCTTCTCAACTTTCCTACCCACTCGTAATAAAATTAGTTGCCTATCGCACGGCTCGTCATTCTTTAATCAGACTTCACGCCTTTGGGAGTCCAGGGGGGTGTGCTTGATGCTTCCATGTTAAAATCGAACGTACACAAACATTATTCTTCCTTCCATTCTTATCTATGTAAAGTCCTTCGCGACCAACATCATAGCCGTGCGTATAGAGAACATCCCTTGAGTGGCTGGTCATACGAAAACAAAATTATATTCTACTTGTTGCTCTAACTCTCTAATAATTCTTCTCCTTAGACAAATCTTCGATATTTAGCGCTTGGCATATTGTTGTCAAAGTATTAAACTTTGAAGGCAGGGAACGGGGCAACAACTCTCGATTTAGCAAGTTCCCGAGTACTTGTCAAGCTTTTCAAATAAACTAAAGGCAGAGAGAGAGAGTGTGTGTGTGTGTGTGTGTGTGTGTGTGTGAGAGAGAGAGAGAGAGAGAGGAAGAGGAATGGGGAAGAGGTTACCGCACCGCTGGAGACTATACCATATACATTCACATATTATGAGTGTTACCGATGGACGAATAAACTGAATATAACTTTATTTGCTCCGCGAGCGCTTTTAAAAAGAAATCTTGCGTTAAAAGAGAAATTCGACAAATTAACGGAATATTTAACAATGAATTTATAATTCGAAATACATCTTAGCACAAAATGCAGTTAATTGTGATGAAATTTATAAAAATTTTGAAGACGAACTCATTCATGCCCACGAAGGAAACAATAGCTGTAATAAAAGTTTTGATAAGACATTTACTTTATTTGCAAAGGACAGCTGACATTGAGGGCAATATAAGGTAAACTTTTTTTTTGCTTTTTTTGTTTTTTTTTCTGTTTTTTTTAAACCTTTTAGAGAAGAACGTACAGACAGTAATATTCAAGTAATCCAACCATTTGCAACATCATAAGTGTGTGTTATTTAATCATCACTTCTTCATTCTAAAGTTGAGTTAATTTTAAACAAAAATCCAGGCTTTACTTAGAGTAGTGTCTGCGATTTGAAATCCGCTGTCGTCTATATGACATCAATGTAGTATTCAAAAATGAATTTATCAGAGGAGTACTAGCCCAATACTAGATGTACAAAATGCACCGAAGTCAACTTAATTAGTGCTTATGTAAGGTCATGTTTTTGTTTAGGTTTAACACGACACTACGCCAACGTCGCAGTCATAAAACTTCCAATCCTACATAGACTTTTTCGAAAACTTTTGATGTTCATTAGGACCACTTTCAAGTTCAGTCCAAAAACGATTCCAATCGGTTTGCCGGCACCTCTACAATTAACGATAAAATCCATTCGTATATGCGTTAGAATAAACGGGAAATAAATTGAAAACAGGGGAGAATTAAAATTGAACACCGATCGAGATCATTTTTGTGGCAAGCAAGCAAATGGTTTTCTTTAAGGTTAAGATAGCAACTTTTCAGAAATGTGTTCACGGTACAGAAAGCTATAGACGAAAATTAAAAAAAAATTATACGAGATTTTAACTTCTTTATTCTGCATTGTGGGCGTTTATGTGGACATATCGACCCCATTCTTTAAGCTCATATTTCTATATCGATTACCGGAATGTTTATGCAAAGTTTCAGCTCCCTTTGCTTTTCATTTTTGCGACTATGACGACTCACAAAAATTATCCACCGAGCTGTGGGCGTTAGTGTTAATGCTTCTTAAAGTCATCTAATATTTGATGCGTTTGTGATGGGTTCACACGATTCGTCCTAAAATAGCTATAACTCACTTGTTCGTATTTAAATTCACTCTTTTCCTTGACAGAAAAGGGTGGCTTTCATGTAAACGTAACTAAATCGTATTTACGTTTGTCTTTACAAGTATCAAAGTTAAAGTCGTTCTTCTTTATTTGTTGTCTTACCGGCCCAGTTGCTTTTTGTTATGTAAGTACGCACGTACGTATATGTAGATTGCATTCGCTACATTTATATATGTGTGTGTGTGTGTGTGTGTATAAGTAAATTATGCTACAATTTTCTTCATTTTTTGAAGTTGATTAATTATGGTAGACGCGTAAAGCGTCAACCTCTAACGACGTTTGCTTACAAGAAGATATTGCGGCAAAGCAGTTTTTTCATCAAGCGGTCGGTCGAATTTGTAAGAACAGCCAGACGTTTTATGCTTTTAGTCAAATCGGTCAAATTTTCAAAGAAAGTATTAAAGAAAAGGGGGAAATTTTTCTCTTTACAATAATTTTCTCGTGCAGGGAAAGGAAAGAGATAAGAAAGTAGAAAATGTAATGTAATTTTGACAAATGTTATCCTATTGATCTTAACAAATGCTGCTGCTACTAGTTGAGTAGAAGTAGTAGAAGAAAAGTTTCTTCTTGAAATTTTGTATTCACAATTTGACATTTTTTAATTAATTTTACGCGAAATGACAGCAAAATATTAGATTTTGCATAAACTTTTGTTTTTTTCTTCGATTTTTTTTATTTTTTTTTTATTAAATTCCAAAGAATATGTTTACGTTTTGCGTTATTTTTGTTTTCTTAACAGCAAATGGTTCCTATCAACCCGGCATGGAGCCGAAACGTCAGCGTACCGCCTACACACGTCACCAAATACTTGAATTGGAAAAAGAATTCCATTATAATCGTTACTTAACTCGTAGAAGACGCATTGAAATTGCCCACACACTAGTGCTCTCGGAGAGACAAATTAAAATCTGGTTTCAGAATCGACGTATGAAATGGAAAAAAGATAATAAATTACCGAATACAAAGAATGTGCGCAAAAAGACCGACGCCAATGGCAATCCGGTGACAACTCTGCCTAAGAAACCAAAGAGAGTGAGTGCCAAAAAACAGGCGCAGCAACAACAGCAGCAGCAGCAACAACAAACTCAATTACAACAACAACCGCCTATCATAAACGAGGTACGTACTACACATATGACTTTTTAAGCGTGCGCGCAAAAGTTTTAGCTTAGGATTATATGCTTATCTAGCAGCTTTTACATCGCAGAGAAACAGTAGTTAAGGCTTTTATAAGGAACAAAAGCAAAAAGTCATATCGCCTAGAGAAAACTACAAGTAGACTAAGGAACATTGAACCCGGTATTAAGAGAGAAAGTATTCGTAGTCATTGCTAGAACGCGCTGACTCCCAAGTTCAAGCAGTTTTTGCTAAAAAGGTCTCTCCTCCTAAGTCTTTCGATCACTTAATCGCTTAGAAGCTTCACAAATGACTTAATCACTTGTTACGATTGCTACATGAATAATTACAAAAGTTCTAAAGTTCGGCGTACTACGCCATAGCCGGCCGGTACACTGTTGATTTAAAGCTCAAATAATTTTTGGTGAAAAAAGACTTCATTGTGGAAACATAGTTTTTAATAACTCATTGATTGTGTAATCTATCCATGTTGCGACGTAATGCCTGTGGCCCGTTACGTAGTACACGAAAACCTCGCCATTGATACTGTTTTCTTATTGACACCTGACAATCTCTCTTGATTTTCGACTCCGAACAATTTGGGTTTCATGGAATGGGGCGTAGTTTATAATAGCATTCAATATATCGAATTTTGTGTCCGGAAACGACGATCTGTGAACAGTATTGATTTCGCGTTACCACTTGAACACAACTGCTGCTTATCGAAGCTTAGCCCAGTTTGAAGTTTGCCTGAAAAAATCGACAGCTTTTATGACGTGGCATCCACAGGTTGTCAGACAGATGAGAGATGGAAGAAATCTATACCTAGCGATGGGCAATATTTTGAGTAAAATATTTTTTATCACTATCATGCATTAGTAAAAGCATGTTTCCTATACACAAATTCCTTTTTCGTACATGGATTGGATTGAGATATCTTAAGTGGAAAATTAATCAAGACCATGGATTATCTATTAAAGTATATTGAAAATTTCTTTTTGGATAATTGTAGCCTTGTTAAAGTACAAAGTGTGTAATTCAGTTTTTGCAACTTGGGGGATTGCGCTGGAAGAAATGTGAGCGGAAAATGGATGGATAGACGATAGACTAACAAGATCTGAAATTTGTACGTTGACTCCCAGGGCCGGAATTTTGTGCATTCGCTCACTTACTACTCTCACATAAATTGTTCATATTTATAAAACAAAAATTGACTTGAATTCGTTTTGTTTGCTTTCATGTTATAAAGACCTGCATAAACTTACAATATCAAAACTAGTATGATACCGCATAAATTGAAATTAGGAATATTTTGTCTCTTTTTTTCCTACTGTATGCATATTTTTCTTTTCGTTTTCTTTGTAGTGTTTACGTTCGGATAGTTTAGAGAGTATGGCTGACGTGAGCACATTGAATAACCCGCCTTATATACCAGCCGCTAGTGATGCAGCAAATTTGCTGGCATCACAAAATCCATGTAATAATTACAATGGATCTCAAACCCCAATACAATCGAATGCCAATGTGAACAATAGTAATAATACTACCAGTGGCAATAACGTAAATAATAACAACAATAATAACAACAATACCCTGCATCTGAATAATACAGCAACGTCTAACAATCAAATGCCAACAAATCTACATTCGCACCCACATCAAGGCCATGTACAACAGCAACAGCAACAGCAACAGCAACAACAACAAACACATCAAAGTTCAGATTTAATGGCGAATCTGCAGCATATAAAACAAGATTATGACTTAACCACACTGTAAAATTTGCGAATAAGAAACTATTTCAGATAATCTCTCGCACAGCATTGAGAAAAACTTTAAGTACCTCTACCGTCTATGTTTTCTTAAATGTGTGTAAATTTTTAAGTTGTTATTTATATAAATATGTATGCATAGCTATTATGTATAAGGAATATTTATTTAGTTTTGTTGCTTTGTTTGACTGTGAACGGTCCGTTTCATTGCCCCGTGATGTTCAAGGTGATAAAAAGAAATCCAAATTCGATTTTCAATCGTTAACGACCTTTCGAGGCTTCTCATAGTCAGTGTATATCATATATATATATATATATATATATTTTATAAATTTTCTTGATATGAAAAATTTCATTAACTGCGAACTTATTAGTGGGGTCTGCATGAATATGTCACTGAGCTTGGGAAAAGCAGCTTGCAGCTCAACTCTCTTTACCGACACTTCTCTCTACCTGTCTACGTACTCTCATCATTCAATCATAAATATAGGGGAAGGCTCGCCACGACAAATAAGATGAATAAACGAACAAATCTCTGGCTACGTGCACTCCTTGTGCTTGTCACCTCACATAAGCATACGCTAAGGGGACTCTTATAGGTATTCCGCGGACCTCCAAACTACTACGTTTTCGAGACAATACGAAATGTGATGTTAAGCGGAATTGTTGAACAACTTGCCTCGGACAACAAATGCAGCATTATTTTTATTTTAGATATGGTTTTACTTAATTAAATTGAAATGTTTTTCTAGTTATTTGAATGTGTACAAGGATAGTCTTTTAATAAGTGTATAATTTGTGTCTCATATATAAAGTTTTTTTTTTTGGTTTTTTTTTTTATAAATCTACACAAACCTTCCAGTTTTTCAATAGAAGTACAAACCTCTTAATACTTACGAGTGCGTGTTCACTATTTTTTGATTTAAGGATAATTTGTATGAGAACCATTTTTGCTTGAATATTATGTTAAGATATATTACTCAATACCAAATAAATTGTAAAAAAATTGTTTTATTCATCTTCTTCTTTTTACTTATTATGGAATGCATGGGCGGGTAAGAGTTTCACTTAGTTTCTGTATTAGGGAGTTTGCACGGTAAAAAGGAAGCAGGCTTCAGTCTTTTGTGTGAATAAATATCTGAAAAGGAAAATGCCTTCAGTAGGCTGATCGTATGCCTATCATAAACGTCAATAATATAAAATTTCTAATTGATGAACTCTTCTTCATCGCAATTCTCTGCTTATGTTGAAGAAATTGTCGAAATATTTTACAGCTCGGTTTTGATTCTGTCTACACAGGCAGCTTTCAGCTTTCTATTCCAATTTTTACAAACACCGAAGATCACACAATAGATAACGAAGATGAGCTGAGCAACGTCAGCTCACGATCGTACGACGATCGGGAAAGTAAGAACTTCAGCCGCTCGCTTTAACGGCATAACAAATTTGTGTCCCCTGCAAATGCTGCTTTAAAGGGATCTATTATTATAATTAACTTCTCCCCGATTTCTTGTTTTAGGTCTAAAATTGTAATTTGGATTGGAACGTTTTAAAGGAGGCTAAGCAAAAAAACTCGTTTTACGAGACTTTGCCTTGAAAAAAACTGGAAGTGAGGCAACAGTATATAAGGTTTGTGCGTTTGTGCATTTGTGTGTGCAACACAAGAAGAATTTGAGGCGAACCTCACGTTTTCTGATAAGAAAACAAGACGGACAGGCAAGCATAGATCGATGTAGAAAACGAGGTCTGAATCGGCCTTGTTTTATTGTAGTCAACCCACATGCCGCACTTTTTGAGATATTTTCATGAGATTTTGTACACCGCCACGTTTTGACCCAAGAACGAACGCTATTAAAAAATGATTTGAATGTAACCACTCCCTGTACTGTTTACTTTGCAAAGTTGTTATATCGATAGCTGCTTTAAAGGAAATGGTGTAGGATATGTAATGGGCCATGCCCCACTATAGTGCTTTTATTAATTGAACAGTAAGTTAGTATGAAATGGATACGGTTTCGAATATAGTGAAAGAAATTACCTTAACTTCTTCAGAATTTAAAATTTTGTCAAATTTCTAAACTCTTTGCTTGCGCCACACAAGATACCTAAGTTTTCGTATTTTTCTGCAAGTCATGTTAACATGGGGTAAGATGTTTTTTTTTTTTATTTTTTTTTTACAATTCATTTCATTGCCAATTAATTGGAATTAATTTCTAAACAACAGTGAAATCATGCTGATTTCTTTATATCTACTCCTTCTCTCTCTCTCTCTATATAGAAATTCACTTGGAATGCTTGGCTTAGAAGCTGAAAGTTAACGGCGATAAAGATACTTTGACATCGTTTATCAAAGACAACCAACTGAAAATATCTATTGCCTCGAACCACATTGTTAATAATCAATGTCAACTGTGCACCAACAGCAACCACACCGATGCTTGGTTGCGATAAGAAGAGTTGGGGGTTCAGGCTAACAAGAGTTCCTAATTAAAAAAGTTATCGATACGTTAATGATTGATCGTAGGACGTTGGCACCTGTTGGCTTCTGGAAACGTGCTGAATGAGATACCAAAAGCAAAGGCAATAGCATACTCTTCTTCCCGCTTATAGGCGCTTCCTTGCTACAGTAAACATTTTGTTGTGTTGTGTTGTGTTGTGTTTCTTTTTTTCATAGTGCTCAGGTGCACTTCTTTTCGCTCTTAATATGGACTACCATGTAGTGAAGTTTATTTTATTTACGTCATATTTCGTGGAAAAAATTATTTATAATTCACTTGAATATATTTGAAATTTATATACCTTCGATCATATATATGTATATACATAACAATATATATCCATATATCCATACAGTAAGTATTGTATAATATAAATGCAAGCGAACATATTAAAGTTTAACTACTGTTTGGAATTCATAATAAAAGAGCAGCAGTGGCTACCAACGAAACAGAACGAAAACTGTGGCGACAATTCAACCATAAAATCCACAACATTTCAACTCTTTTTTCTTTTCCTGACTCTAATATGGGTATGCGTAGTGTTTGTAAGTTAACACGCATACACACACCCAAATGTGCATATTATAAACAATCAATCTAACCGTTTTGACATTGGATTGTCTTACAAGAACACGAAAACACTCTTAGCGATTAATTTATCATCGCAAAAAAATCTTCACTTTATGAATTTTATATTGAATGGATTACGTTAGCCGGGTAAGAGTTGGCCAAGATCTGCACTATCTTCGTTAGCCGGTCGGTTTGGTCAGCTGTTTTTGTAAAACGACAGAAGAAATATATATGTACATATATACACACACATGTACGCAGATTATCACTTAGAAGACTTCTTTGACTTTTCTGAAGAAAATATATAACTGATGTTATTACTTACCAGTTTTTGCTTTTATACACACATGCATAATAGCAAACTAAAAAAAAAAAAAGAAGCACACACACAGACACACACACACACACACACACACAACAATGAAGCGATAAAAGGATTAAAGCCTACTTATAGTATAGTTGAGAAATCAATGACTGAATGAGAAATGACTTCTAGGTGTTTATAAGGAGGGATTACGCACACAATACTCTGACATAAATAGCGACCGCATTAATGATAATGAGCACATTGCTAACAACATGTAAGTAATTTACGCTCATGTCGTACATGTGTAGGAGAACAACAAATTAAACACGCTATGCCTCGAAATACTGTAAAATTTTATTTTTTTTTTTCAATATCAAACGATAAGACTATATTAGATTTTTCTTTACATATGTAATACGTATTTGTAATGCATTATAGAGGACTTATAAGACATGTATATGTGATATGCAATGGTGTGCAAAAATTTATGATTCAATGTTTTTCTGTCTGTCTATCCGTACCGTTGTTTGCAGTCTATTGCAACTTTTGTAGTGTCAGCTTTTTATATGCAAAAATTTAGTGACGAAGGCCAGAGAAGTAGTTTGAAAATTAGCACGAGTTGCCGACAATAAGCAAAGACCTTTAATTTCCGATGTCTAGTGGATATTATTGTGAAATACATATCAGTCAGAATCATTAAAGTTGCCAATACGAAAATGAGAAAGATACATACGCCACTTTAGGACATGGTTTATAAACGATACAGTGAATTAGAACTTTCTACAGACATATGCTGAGGCCATCTAAAATAAAAATCTATGTCCAATCGATCAACCGCAATGTCCACAATAGAAAAACGTCGAATATTTATATAACGGGTTCACAGGGTTCACATGATGAATATGGGTCGCTTGTAATTTTTTTAATTAAATAAAAATTAAAAACTTTTATAAACAGGTGAAAACGGATTTTTCTTTTGATATGCATGATCAGTTTTATTAAGATTATTCTCAATAAATATACCTCTTGTTAAGTATTGTCTGTAACATGATTGGGCGGTGTAAACGCGTAGGCGCTAAAGATAAAGTCATTTTTATAAAGTTTATATGAGAACAAGTAAGAAAATTATATTCAGCCGCCATCAAATCTTTCGCCATTATCCGTCGTATATCGCCGCGATATTTAATTTAGAACTGACACACTGAAGTTGGTCGTATTTTACTTTGTAAGTCTTTCTATTTGATACTCTGTTAAGAGAAAAATGAATCCTCCACCTTGTGGGATCGATCATACTTATTTTAGAATTAACACATTTTTAAACAGATAAAATCTTTCCAAGTGTGGAATGTATTGAATAATTGTGTGTGTGTGTGTGTGTGTGTGTGTGTGTGTGTGTGTGTGTGTG